GGTCCAAGTATAGGTTTCACATTAGAACTATCAAGTGTTCTGGGATTTCCATTCTTCTCAGAGTCAGCCACAGTCTGTTATGATCCACACAGTCTAACGCCTTTGCATAGTCAATGAAACACAGATACATTCCTCTGGTATTCCCTGCTTTCAGCTAAGATCCATCTAACATTAGCTACAATATCCCTAGTACCACGACCCCTTCTAAACCCAGTCTGGACATCTGGCAGTTCTCTGCTGATGTGCTGTTCCAGTCGTTTTTGGATAATCTTCAGTAGAATCTTGCTTGCATGTGAAAACAGTGAGATTGTCCTATAGTTTCCACACTCTGTTGGGTCACCTTTCTTTGGAATAGGAACAAATATAGATCTCTTCCAGTCAATTGGCCAAATGGTTGTTCTCCAGGAGACTAAGGTGCGCCTGATACAGGCCATGGTCTTTGCAATCACTTGTTATGCATCAGAGAGTTGGACAATGACCAAGGAGGATAGAAGGAGAATTGATGCCTTTGAGCTGTGGTGCTGGAGAAGAGTATTAAGGGTACCATGGACTGCTAGGAAAACAAACAGATTCACCCTGGAAAGGGTTAAACCGGGTGGCTCCTTGGAGGCAAGGATTCTGACACTCCGTCTAACATACTTTGGACATGTTGTAAGGACAGACCGGTCCTTGGAGAGGGACATAATGCTTGGGAGGGTGGAGGGACAGCGCAGGAGGGGAAGGCCCTCTGTGAGGTGGATTGATTCAGTGACTGGGGTAATAGGGATGGGAGTGTCAGAGTCAGTGTGATTGGCAGAGGACAGAGCAGAGTTTAGGGCTGTTGTACATAGGGTTGCTATGAGTCAGAAGCGACTTGACAGCACATAACAACAACAACAACAACAACACAGAAACCAGAGGTCTACAAAACGTGTGCCTCCGCAGACACCCTGCCCTTGCTGAGAGTGGCCGGAGGCGTCCACAGTAAAAGCATACTTTGTTCCAAAGGTTTACAGTGTTTACCTCCGAAAATTTTCATTGACAGCCAACTGCCAGGAGAATAACAATGCCACGCAGAGAGCTCGGCTTTCTCCCATTCTCCCGAGAGCCTCTCCAAGCTGGTCTCTCTCCCTGAGTTTCCTGCGCTGGAGCCTGGCTTCAGCCCTGCCTCGGCCACGTGTGTGCTTGGACTTCTGTGTATTATATGTTTACCATCCAAAGGAGCCAGACCCTAAATAAGGACTTAGCCTTCCCTACACCAAAGACAGAAAAAGATGATTTAGTTCCCAGATTCAGCAGCTCAAGACCCCACAGAGCAAATAAACATGTTAAATTAAAAGGAACGCATGCCTCTTCGAGGTGAAGGGGGAGGGGTAAGGGAGCACTACAAAAATAAAGGAATAAATAAGGCACAAGATAAATGTCTTCAGAAACTGTTGGATAAGGATATTCAAGGCACAGCTATTCGATGAATCCCTTACAGGATAAACGTGTAAGTCCCAGAGGGAGTGATTTTCACATGAATGTTGACTGTGTGTATCCCCTTCCAGGATCTCCCAGGGACACAAACAATGGAGTCATATCATGCCAGGGATTGTGAGAGATGGGAGAGGGATATTCTGGGACCCTGTTTCAAAGAAAACTTTGAAGATTTATTAGGCTTGCTTCACTAAACTGTCACAGTTTAACAACACACTTGCAAATGAGTGGCGTTCTGGACCACCTGACTGCTGGCTGGAGACCTGGGATTAGCACGCAGGAAGACCTCCAAGCTACTGCAGGGTATTTATTCACAAGGAAAGTACTACACTCACCCAGTCCTCAGACCCAGACCAACGTTAACATTCTCTTCTGAAAGAACCCTCCTTCCTGTCCCTGAACTTCACCCTTCCCACAGCGTCCTGGTGCACAGAGTTAGAAGAAGCGGCCCTGTGTTTCCGGTTTCAGAGAAGTGATAGTGGTGGTGGTTGTCACTGTATACCATCAAGTCAGAACCGACCCATAGCTGATTGTCAGGCAGGTTTTGAGAGGCAGTTGATTACATGGGAGGAGACTGCCCATCCTTATCCCAGGGAGTAGACGGTGGCCTCGAACTGTGTGCCTTTGGGATTGCAGCGAAGCTTTTTGCCACTAGGCCATCAGAGTTCCCATGTAATTCATCCTACTTTTTCTAAACAGAAAGCAGAGAAAAGACCCACAGGAGGGGCGCACAGCATGAATGGATAGAGACACCAGCCAGGGGTCGAGGGGGTGGGGAACGACTGAATCCTATTTTATCTAGCTTCCACCAAGACCTATATGTCACATGTCAAGCTTCTTAGTTACTTCCCACATTCACATCTGTACAGGAAAAGATTTCTGCAGAACGAGAGTCTCAATCCACTCTCGTTAGAGCCCTAGGTTTCTAGGGGGCCCTCCGAGGCAGTCACAGCACCTCATGCTTTTGTCAACTCAAAAACGCTGGACTCAGGATCGATCTGTTTCATATACTGAGTTGTTCCTAATGTCTTTTAGTTAAAGCACTCGCTGGTGCTTTACATATTGCTGTGATGCTGGGAGCGATGTCACTCGTAGCTCAAACACTAGCAATCATCCAAAGTGGATAACTTCAACAGGGCTTCCAGACTAAGATCAGGAACAAGGGCCTGGCAATCTACTTCCAAAAGTGAACAAACGGAACAGTTACCTACTGCAGAACATTGGTCTCTATTCACCTGGAACAAGACAGGACCAGGACGTGAAGGTGTCACGAACAGGAGAATGCAGAATATATGGTTATGTGACTCTGTGAACAAAGGACAAATACTGCATGGTGCCACTGCTGTAGAACAAAACTGACATCAGGGTC